GTGAGATACTCCTCTCAAAAGCAGTACAAATCTTACCATGCCCCCACTCAAAAATTATGTGCCTGTAGACGCCATATTTGTTGAACAAAATTCTACTTCATTCAACATTTTTATTAGGGGGGAGTCTATATTAGAATATAAGAATATACAACTCGTACTGGACTTTAACTTACCACATTTTCCTCGCACCTCAAAACCATTACCATAAGAGAACGTTTAGAACCCACAAGAAAATTCATCATAACAAGAAAACCTTCCAAATCTACCCGCTTAAGAGATCATAATAGACTGTAGGTTTTTTCAGGTATATATACAAGGAGGATGATGTCGTGTGTTGAGTCAATGTTGATCTAATAATTCGAATTTGATCCTGAAATTGAGATAAGTCTTGAAAACTTATACAGTGTAATAATGATATACCTATTTCACTCTGTAAAAGTACAAAAGAATGCATTAAACATCATTTGTATCTTATTTCACAGTTTGTATCATTTAATAAGTGCTCATCAACCCATAAAAATTTTTTTAAAAGTTTAAATAATGAATCTATTTTTAACACAGTACTCGAGATATTATTATGTGAAAAATGAAAAAATACTATGAGTATAGAAATGCAAGTACTTGAAAAGAACCAAACTTAAAGAATAGTATATCTACCCAAAGACAAGAAACTGGTGGAATGCAAATGAGTTTTAATAATCAAATATAAAGCAGATAGAATAATTGAAATATATAAAAAGAGACTGGCAGCAAAAAGCTATACACAGACAGATGTGATAGACTATCAGGAAAAATTCGCACCAACCAAAATGAATACTATGCAAATCTTGTTATCATTAGTTGTCCACAATTATTAAGTATAACAATTTGATATAAAAATATCTTTCTACATGGAGATTTAGAAGAAGAAGAAATCTACATAGATATTCCACTAGATTTTGACAAAGAAACAGGATAGAAATAAGGTATGTAATATATGTACTAAAATAATTGCCAAGAACATGGTTTGACAGCTTCACAAGGGTGATGATAGATCTGAGATTTAAGCAGACTCAAGGATATCACACATTATTGATCAAATATTTAGAGATAACGGGAGTTACAGCTCTCTTAATATACGTTAATGACATTATCATAATAGAAAACAATGAAAGGAAAAACTGACATTAAACTAGTGTTTGACAAGCGAATTCAAACTCAAGGAACTAGACAAACTAAAGTATTTTCAAAGAACTAAGTCGCTCACTCAAAATCTGAAAGTTATATATCTCGATAGAAATACACTCATAACCTATTAAGAGACATTGACAAGCTAGTATACAGACCAACTAGTACAACTAATGATTCTAATAACAAATTAAGAATGGTAGAGGAAGAGAGACCAGTAAATAAAGAAATTTATTAGAAATTACTTGGCATATTGATATAATTATCTCAAAGGAGGCCAGACACCAAAATTCAAAAGCTGAAACTTCACCCCGACCATCAATAGCTTTAGCCAGAGCATTTATAACATGATTCAAATAAGCCTCACTTATGAGTATCTGAGCAATTTTTTCTGTTGCTTTGACATAACTTCCCTTTTGTATCATCAAACCATCACCCATTAATACAACACCAATATTATTTGATTCTAAATTCAGGGTAATGCCTATTGTAACCTCTTTAGATTCTACTAATTCACCTGTCATTACTTCATCAAGACCATAAATACGAGCAATGTCGTCGCTCAACTGAAGTATGGTATGCAGTAAATGTTATAAGTTAATTCATGCACAATACAAAAGAAGTACACCTACAAGCAGCGTATCGAGTACTGCAATACCTAAAAAAGTCATCAGAAAAAAGAATAATGTTCAAAAAGAATGCAAATTGCTTTTAAAAACGTATATTGATGCAAATTATACAGTACTAGTTGTAAACAGAAGATCTACTACAAGATACTGTATTTTTCTTGGGCGATCTAATCATCTAGAAAAGTAAGAAACCAAAAATAGTTGTGAGATCAAGTATAAAAACAGAGTTTTGGACAATAGCACAAAGGGTAAATGAACTAATATGAATAAAAAAAATCTTACAAGATCTCATAATCAAGTAGGAAAACTCTATACGCCTATACTGTGACAACAAGTGTAGTACAAAACAACAAATAGGAAAACTCTATGCGCCATAAGCATCATTTATAATCTAGTACAATACAAGCAGACCAAACACAT